GGCCTGTTTTCGGCGGTCGCTCGTTCTGAAAGCCGCTTGGACGTTTGGGGCATTTTCCTGGCTTTGTTCTGAGGCCGTCTCCTTCACGCTGCACAGTTCCTCGGGCTGTCCAAGAGTTGCGCGACTAAACCAGCTGGTTTCCGGCCGCAGCTCAAGGTGCTGGTGGCGCAAAGGGCTTGGGGCTTGGTGGCAACAAGCGGGCCCCGTTCGCCCCGGACCCCGAGGCTGTCCTGTGCCCTTGCGGAGTCCCCCAGCTCTCTAACAGCCTCCCTGGCGCTGACGTCGATTCTCTTTAGGAGAGCTGGACGTCCGTCCCCAGCGTGTCAGCCACCAACAGCCTTTATTTACTTAGACTACTCCTTTTATTGTTTCACGTACTATGTACTCTTAATGTACCTGGTACATTTTATTGTTTGATGTTCTATGTACTGTTCTAGGGTAGTTAATGATTATTAAGGCGTTCTGAGGCGCCCCTTCCCCGAGGCGTGTGCAAAGATGTCCTCTGGGCCGCCGCAGTCGAGGGCAGCCTCCTCGAGGCCGTGGCTTTGTTGCCGGAAGGGAGCCGGGCAGGCGGGCAGGTCTGCCTGGACAGCTCCTGCGCCCAGTGAAGGACCGGCTGGGGCAGGAAAGAGGTGCAGGCCAAAGGCGGGGAGCTCCATTCGGAAATCACCGTTCCAGGAAATCGGGTCTCGCCAGCGTTTATTGGTTTGCAGTGCGTGTATAAACAGGGAAGGGCGTGGACAATAAAGGGACTTGTGGCTAAGCTGAGGGCCGCCCAGCCTCCAGCCTGGGGGAAACACACCGTGAATGCTGAAGGAACTGGGTAAAGCGCCGTCAGGATCCCTCTCAATTATCTCTGAGGAGTCCGGGGCGGGGGGGCAGAGGACTGGCGGAGAGCCACGGTGGTCCCTCCCCAGGAATTGTCGGCCAGGGAGCCTGACTCAGTCCCGCAGAAGATGCCTGAGCAGGAAATGAAGCGGGGAGGTGTGCCCATCGCAGGAGGCGAAGCAGCACACGTGAGGACGTGCCGACTGGAGCTTCCTTCCTTCCCCGCGTCGTCCTCCGGTCAGGCTGGCTCCTCCCCGCCCCTTGCGTACCCACTTCTGGGAAGAGAAAGCTGGGGGGCAGAATTTCAGCTGTCCAAATGGGTGCCCCCAGGAGAAGGTTCCTCCAGGGTTCAGTGGGGGAGCTGTGCCCCTCTGAGCCTGAGTGGGCAGAGAGAATCCAGGCAGGCTCTGCCTCCCTGGCGCTGCAGTGGCTGGCTTTTCAGGGTGGCTCCTGGGGGGGAGAGGCGCCACCCGGTGAAGCCTGGTCTCTCCGAGGCCCTGGCAGCCGGCCGTGCCAGGAGGAGCTGGGGATGGGGGGCAGATTTGTGCAGCAGCAGAGAGGAGTGAAAGAGAGCTGTTTGCAGAGCTGCGAAGCACCGTCCTCTTTCAAGGCCAGGTTTTGGTCACCAGAAGCTGCCCGAGAGGTTGGGAGACCCTTCCCGGCCCCTCTGCCATGCGCTAAAGGGCAGGAGTCGTAGGCCAGAAGGCTCTGGTGCAGGTGGGTGATTCACAGCAGAGGCACACGGCTGCTGCCAGGCGAGGGTTCTTCTCTCTGAACGTCACCAGCGGGAGGGAAGACGCTGAGCTCAGGTGCCCGCGGGGCTGGGGAGCCAGGGAAGGCTGGAAGTCCAGGCCGCCCAGCTGCAGAGACCCTGAAGACGCTGCCCCGGCGGAGCAAGGCGGTCGCGCAGGCCTCGGGGTCCACGGGAAGAAATGTCTTTGGAGCGCGCAAGGTGGAGGGAGGGCCTGGCGCCGGCGTTCAGCTGCGTCCTCCCCTAGCCTCGGGACTTGCAGTGGCTGTGCCGCAGGGCCTCAACCTGGGTGGTCAGGGTGCAGAATCGGGGTCGCTGGCTTGGCAGGAAGGACCAGCAGGCCTGCATCACAGCCAGAATCTGGAGGGGGAGGGGGGCCAGTGAGGCGGCTGGGGGCACCGTACCCCTTGGATGGCGCCTCAGCTTTTATCTCCCCAAACAAACAGTTAAGCTGGCTAAACAGCCCCTCCCTGGATGGCGCAGTCTCCCACCCGTAACTCCAAGCCTGTGATGCCAGGGGTGTTTCTGCAAGCTTCAGTGAACTGTTAGTTGGCACCATGGGTCAGGGTGGCACTGCCCCGCATCTGAAGGCCAGAGCAGGAGGTAGAAAGAGTATTCCTGTGGGGAGAAGGCCTACGGGGGGCACCTGAATTGTGGCGTCCTTGGGGCTCTCTGAGCTTGGTGGTTTTCTCGCATGCTTTTCGTTACCTGGCTAGGTAACATCTTCAGTGCTAGAAGGGAGCAGAGTTTGCTCTCCGTTTATATACAGTGGCGTGCCCTGCCAGTGTCGGTGTGTGTGTGTGTGTGTGTGTGTGTGTGTGGTTTTTTTCCTCTGGTAGTTCCTTGATTGGGGTATTGTTTACTGCTTGATTGTGTGTCTGGTGATCCTATAACAGCACGCCCTGCCCACCAGCGTCAGATGCAAACCTCCAATAAACTGCACAGCTGGATGGGTCACCAGGGACACAAT